GGGGTTGAACCTTGTGCCTGGCTTGCCAACATGCCAGTCCCCTGGACCACTGCATGGTCTGGCTGGCTTTTGATCTTAGTGCCTGTCCCAGTGCCGTTGGTCAGTGTCCCGTGGTGGCCACGCTGGATGAGCTGTGTGCTCCCTGAGGGGGTGGAGGGGGTCACAGAGTCTCCACGCACCATGCCACCTGTGCCTCTCCGCAGCTGGGTGGCCACATGGCTCCCCTGCACAGTGATGGGGAGTGGGGGTGGGGTTGGATGGAGACCAGGACAGCGCCACACACCCTCCTCTGTCACACCTAGATCATGAGCGACTGGATGCCCATCGCCAAAGAGTACGACCCGCTGAAGGCAGGCAGCATCGACGGCACCGATGAGGACCCCCACGACCGCGCGGTCTGGAGAGCCATGCTGGCGCGCTATGTCCCCAACAAGGGCGTCACTGGGGACCCCCTCCTTACGCTGTTTGTGGCCAGACTAAACCTGCAGACCAAAGAGGACAAATTGAGGGAAGTCTTCTCCCGCTACGGGGACATCCGGCGGCTGCGGCTGGTGAGGGACCTGGTGACCGGCTTCTCCAAGGGCTACGCCTTCATTGAGTACAAGGAGGAGCGCGCGCTGCTCAAGGCGCACCGCGACGCCGACGGGCTGCTCATCGACCAGCACGAGGTCTTCGTGGACTACGAGCTGGAGCGCACGCTGCGTGGCTGGATCCCCAGGCGGCTGGGCGGCGGGCTGGGTGGCAAGAAGGAGTCGGGGCAGCTGAGGTTTGGGGGGCGGGACCGGCCCTTCCGCAAGCCGATTAACTTGCCGGTGGTGAAAAACGACTTCTATAGGGAGGGCAAAAGGGAAAGGAGAGAGCGGTCGCGTTCCCGGGAAAGACACTGGGACTTCAGGGCGCGCGATCGGGACCATGACAGGGGGCGGGAGAAGAGATGGCAGGAGAGGGAGCAGGCCAGGATGTGGCCTGACAGTGACTGGGACAGAGAGAGGGACCTGCGGGAGGACAGGCTCAAGGGGCGGGAGAAGAGGGACCGGAGCAAGTAGAGGGTAAGGGCTGGTCCAGGAGGAAGGGGCAGGGCAAGGGTGACTGCAAGGCTTGTGTCTAGTGACTCAATAAAACTTGCTGATAATGGGCTTTGGGACAGTTTTTCTTCCAGTCTGGACTCTAGAGTCAAACTGGTATGAACTTTTCTTTTTCTT